CCCTGTAGAGGGGAGCAGTGGTGTTATCTTAATCTGGGTATTAACTTACATTAATTTACATATGTAAAAATTCATCCAGTTATACACTTCAGAGTCTGTCTCTTATACACATCTAGATGTGTATAAGAGACAGAGGCCAGCCTGGCCAACATGGTGATACCCCGTCTCTACTAAAAAAAAAAAAAAAAAAAAAAAGAAAAATTAGCCAGGCATGACGGTGGGTGCCTGTAATCCCAGCTATTTGGGAGGCTGAGGCAGAACTGCTTGAACCTGGGTGGCGGATGTTGCAGTGAGCCGAGATTGTGCCATTGCACTCTAGGCTGGGTGACAAGAGCAAAACTCAGTTTCAAAAAAAAAAAAAGAAAAATAGAAATAGCCACAAAGATCACATATTATGTGACTTCGCTTATTAGAAATGTCTAGAACAGCCAAACATATAGAAATAGAACATAGATAAGTTGTTGTTTAGGGCTGAGATTGTGTATGTCAGGATGGGGGATGATAGCTAAATGATAAGAAATTTCTTTTTGAAGTGATGAAAACATTCTACAATTGTGGCAATGACTGCACAACTTTATAAATATACTAAAAACCACAAAACTGTACACTTTAAAAGTGTAAATTATATGGTATGTGAATTGTATCTCCATAAAGCTGTTAAAAATAAAGGACACTAGAATAAGTAGGATGATTTGGATTTTCTATATCCTATTAAAGAAACTGAGTTCATGAGCAAAAACCAGGCACAAGAAAAACTCCAAGGCTAGACTACCTCTCAGGTATATTTTTCCAAACATTTAAGGATGAAATAACAGCAATCTTAAACTTGTTCAGAGAACAGAAAATGAGTAACTGTTTCCAAACTCATTTTTTGAGAATATAATGTTGACGCCAAAACCTGACATTATATGACAGAAAAACTGCAAGCCAGTATCTTTCCATTAATGTAGACACAAAAATATTAATTGAAATATTAACAAATTGAATCCAGAAATAAATTAAAGTGATAGCACATGTGGGAATTATCCCAGGAATGCAAGGTTGGTTAAACATTGATAAATCTATCAATATAATTCACCTCTTTAACAGACTAAAGGAATAAAATTATATGATTATCTCACTAGATGCAAGAACAGCCATCTGACAAAATATGCATGATAAAAAAAAAAACAACTCAGGAAACTGAAAATAGAGAGGGAACTTCCTTATTTTAATTAAGGACATATACAAAAAACATGTAGTTAAAATACGACTCAATGGTGAAATACTGAGTACCCCTCAGGTGAGGTATAAGACAAGGATTTCTGTTATCACCATTTGTACTATACATTTTACTGGAAGTCCTAGCAGTAAGGCTAAAAAGAAATTAAAGATATAAAAACTGTAAAGGAAGAAATTGTCTTTTTTGCAAAAAAAATTTTTGCATATTTAAAATCCAAAAGAATCCACAGATAAGCTATTAGAATGAGTGAATTTTATAAAATGCCTAGGTATAAGATCAATACTAAAAAATCCATCATATTTTAATAAACCAACAATAAACTGGAAAATGACATTTAAAATGCAGTATCATTTATGCTATTATCAAAATAGATCAAATACCTAGGAAAAAATCTAATAAAAGAGGTGAAAGACTTCACCTCTACTCTGAAAAACTTTCCATCAGGATTTTCTGTGAAAACTGATAAAACTTCCATGAACATGAAAAGGGCCTAAAACAGTAAATAAATTCACTAAAATTCATGACTTACTATAAAGCAACAGTAATTAAGACAGCGAAGTACCAGCAAAAAGATAACATAATTGGACCACAGGAAGAAAACATACAGTCTACATCAGACCCGCATACAAGTCACTTGACTGACAAAAGACACAGCTGCAATTCAGTTGACAGAGGATGGTCTTTCTAACAAATGGTGCTAGAGCAACTGGATATCCATACGGTAATATGAACCTTGACACTCACGTTATACCAAACACAAAAGCTAACTCTATGTGGATCAAGCTAAAATAAACAAATACGTAGTAACAATATAGGAGAATATCTGTATGATTTTAGAGTAGGGAAAGAACTTTCAAATATGATACACAAGGAACTGCCATTAAAGAAAAGACGATTCTGACCTTTATTAAATGTAAAAACTTTGTTGTCAAAGATATTATTTAAAAAATGAATAGGGACATCACAGAATCCAAGAACATTAGTAACGCACACATAGCAAAAAAACATTTACTGAAAATACTGAAATAATTCCTACTTAAAAAAAAGCAAATAACCCAATTAAAACAGAGTTGAATAGGTACTTTACATATTACATAAAAGGAAAGGATGTCTAAATGGTCAAAACACAATGGTGCCCAACATTAGTATGTACCATAGAAAAGCAAATTATAAATTTTGATGAGATACTACACTATACAGCCACCAAAATGGCTAAAAACAAAAAGATTGATAGTAACAAGTGTTGCTCAGAATCTGGTACAGCCAGAATGCTAGTGAGAATGCAAAGTGATTCAACCACTTAGGCAAGCTACTTGCAGTATGTATTAAAGCCGAACTTATATTTATTTATGAACCAGCAATTCCATTTCTAGGTATATCCCAAAAACAATGAGGACATACCAAAAGACACAAAAGAATATTCACAGCAGCCTTATTCCTGATAGCCTCAAACAGGAAAAACAAATGAAAAATTGGACTAAGAGCAGAATGAGGAAATAAATTATGGTCTATTCATACAATGAAATACAGCCCAGCAATAAAAGGGAAATACTAAGATACGGAGCAAAACATTCCCTTGAAAACTGTAAAAGAATACATTTTGTATGATTCTATTGGTACGATATTCAAAAACGAATTTATCTTTTTTCCCTAACATACAAGGTCAGAATAGTGGCTGCCCTGTAGAGGGGAGCAGTGGTGTTATCTTAATCTGGGTATTAACTTACATTAATTTACATATGTAAAAATTCATCCAGTTATACACTTCAGAGTACACTTTACTGGTGTTAAAACTGCATCTCAGTTAAAGAACTAAGTTTTTAAAAGGAAAAAAGAGTATATAAAAGAGAAAAAATTAACACAATATATATAGTTGGTAATTTGGGAAGGTGGGAACATATTAATTATATTATTTCTTTGTATCTTTCTATGTTTGAACAATTTCTCAATTCCTTACAGTAAAAGGAAATTTGGACATAGATTCATACAGAGAAAGATGACGTGAGGACAGACATCTAAGCCATGGAACAAGGTCCTTCCCTCACAGCTCTCAGAAGGAACCAAACCTGTTGACATCTTTTTTTCCTTTTTTGAGACGAGTCTCGCTTTGTCGCCCAGGCTGGAGTACAGTAGCACGATCTCAGCTCACTGCAACCTCCGCCTCCCAGGTTCAAGCAATTCTCCTGCCTCAGCCTCCCGAGTAGCTGGGATTACAGGCGCCTGCCACTACACCCAGCTAACTTTTATATTTTTAGTAGAGACAGGGTTTCACCATGTTGGCCAGGCTGGTCTTGAACTCCTGACTTCAAGTGATCGGCTCACCTTGGCCTCCCAAAGTGCTGGGATTACAGGCGTGAGCCACTGCCCCCAGCCCCTGTTGACATCTTGATCTCAGACTTCTGGCCTCCAGAATGGTGGGAAAATAAATTGCTGTTTAATCTACCCAGTCTGTGATTCTTTATTATGGCAGCCCTAGCAAACTAATACCCCTAGTCTGGCTCTAACCTTTATCTCCCTCCCCTCTCTTATTATTCCCTAAGAGGAAGTCCAAATTGCAATGGGCAAAAATTATTACTGGACCTTGCATGCCTTGTTTAGCCCACTCTCAAAATGCAGTAATCTCCTGTACTGCAACAATGAAAACCTTACCCATTGTTCAGGACAAAATCCTTTTAAACTCTCCACCTCTGATCAACAGAGCCTACACCATCAATCTGTCCTTTCTTTGACAATCTGTCTACCTGAACCTCTGTTTCTGTTACCTGAAAAACTGTATTAATAAAAAAACTGAAAAACTGTATTAATAAAAGCCCGAGTTTGGCACTAAGCCCTCTACTTCCACTGAGGGAAAAGCAGAAGCAATATACTGCATTTATTTCAAGGCTGTTATTAGAAAGATTTGCACTGACACTTATGTGAAGACCAACAAAGACATTTTTCCTGACTTTGATAACTTTAGATTCCATGAGGAATCAGCCTGGTTTAAGCTTCTCATCAATGCAAATCTGTAAACAAATATTGTCTGTCTGACTCTCTGCCATGGCTATCAGAAAGAATGAAAACGGCAGTTCCATTTTGGAAAATCTGTAACATCAGGAGACCTGCATCTTTCCACGTGCCAATTCTGCTGTCCTACTGCCCTGCTTTTCTATACATTCCTGGAATGATTTTGATCCATTTCTACATTTCCATATTAATATGTGGACCCTTAAACATCTATGAATTCCATGATGAAAAAGGTGTTAGCAAATAACTCACCTGAGATATGTTCATTTTCTGCTGCTCCTGAAAGAGTGTGGAGAACCGTAAAGGATAACCTGGGGGTGAGGAAGGAGTCATGAGATATCTGGGCAGCCTCTATCTTACCTGCCTACCAATGTCATCACACGAGCTGTGGAAAAAGACCTCTCTACAAAACATGTTCCTTTGACCCTTGAGAAGGAACAGGAAGCACTACAGAGAAAGCACCTCCTGAATATGTGCATCTTTAATATGATCATGTGGATGAACCCTTGCTGATTTTTCTTTTTTTTTTCTTTTTTTTTTGAGACAGGATCTGGCTCTGTTGCCCAGGCTGGAGTGCAGTGGTGTGATCTCAGCTCACTGCAACTTCCGCCACCCGGGTTCACGCGATTCTCCCATCTCAGCCTCCTGAGTGGCTGGGACCAAAGGCACCCACCAATACGCCCGGCTAATTTTTGTATTTTTTGTAGAGACGGGGTTTTGCCATGTAGCTTAGGCTGGTCTCGAACTCCTGACCTAAAGCAGCCTGCCCACCTTGGCCTCCCAAAATGCTGGGATTGCAGGGGTGAGCCATGACGCCTGGCCCCTTGCTGTTTTTCACCAGGTGATTGTAGATTATTTTCCTATTGATTTATTTAAAACGTATGTCTTCTTTGACAAAAAACTAAAACAGAATTAACATTAATATTCTGTTAATATTATTTACACCAATAGAAAACACAAAACTGAAAAAAAGGAGATGCTGAAAGACAGACTATTTTAAAATCTTTCTGTTCTAACTTATAGTTTCTCAAAAAGACTTTCGATAAGACACTTCTGGTGACTCACCTGTGACAGAGCAAACAGCACTGTGCTTTGCTCCAAGCTCTGTCCTGAGTGACCATGGACAAACTGTTGATCCCAGGTTCAACACTTCTCAAGGTTTTAAAAGAGTCAGAAATAGAAATCCTTTCCTGTATTATCATTTTTGTGATTCTACAGGTTCAGTAACCTTAGAAAATCTCTAGATGCTACATGTGATAGATGTTGTGTGAAACAGACTCAGAATCTGGAAAGAGTGAGGCTAGAATGAAGAAAATGGGGGCTGTAGGAGGAGGATTAGAGACAGAATTTCCTCAGCCCTGGCTGGTTATGCCTTCCTTGCAGACCATGGAGAAAAGCCCTCCAATAATGTGGCTTTTCCTGTGCAGTCTGACAGTAACCCATCCCTCCCAACCCCAGCTTACCACCTTCTGCAAGTTGGCCCACAGTATTCAGTGTCACGCAATCTGTGATGGCTTCTGGATGTGGCGACATCACCAAGTCTGGAGCTTTCTGGGCAAGGGGATAAAGAACTGCTGCCGGTTGGGCAAATCAAGACCTGCTCCTCTCTGGGTTCTTCTGCATCTGTTCGGAAGCCCTTGTGATGAGGTCTCTGTTCTGTCAGAGGGCAGTTCTTTGGTGGGACTCCTGTTCCTGGGGCTCCCTCCTTCCTGCAACATAAAGAACTGCTTTGTTCCAGAGAAGCTGGGGCTGAGGCCTGGGTAACGAATTCATTTTAGTTGAAACTTTCATGGAAAGCAGTGTTCTTCACCTCAGCACAACTTACATTTTGGGCTGGATAATTCTCTGACATAAGGAGCGGTCCTGTGCATTTTAGGATGTTTAGGAGCATTTCTAAACATGCACTAGACATTAGGACACCCCTTCTCCCTGTTGTGACAATCAAAAATGTCTCCAGGCTGGGCGTGGTGGCTCACGCCTGTAATCCCAGCACTATGGGAGGCCAAGGCGGGTGGTTCACCTGGGTTCAGGAGTTCAAGACAAGCCTGGCCAACATGGTGAAACCCCACCTCTACTAAAAATACAAAAAAATTAGCTGGGCATGGTGGTGCATGCTTGTAATTCCAGCTGAGATTACAAGCTGGGAGGCTGGGGCAGGAGAATCACTTGAACCCGGGAGATGGAGGTTGCTGTGAGCTGAGATCACACCACTGCACTCCAGCCTGGGCCGGAGAGCGAAACTCAGTCCCCCGCTACCCCCCGGCAAAAAGTCTCCTGACATTTCCAAAGTTCCCTGGGGAGCAAAATCCTCCTGAATAACTGACCTATAAGGCCTTAAACTGGATTCTCTTGGCATTCATTACAACCCTGCTATCCATGACTACAGCCTCCAATCACATCAACTACTGAGCACTTGAAATGTGGCTAGGGCCACATGTCCAAATAACATTTTGGATACATTGAGAAAACCACAGTATGTTCTTAAAATTAATTTCACGTTTTAGATTTTCATGTAGCTACTAATTTAGCATTTAAAATTACATATGTGACTCATCTTCACTGCCCTAGAATATCAGACTGACTTCTAAAGACACAGACAGCAGGGACCGCACAGGAGGTGGCAGAAGCCTCAGTCTAACCCAGAGGCTCTGGAGACATCCCAGAAACACCATAATAAATACACTTGCCACATAGTAGGATTCTGTCCACGCTGACCTCGCAATCATTGTCCTGGGGTTTTGGGGACAAGTCACTCACCTAGTGCTGTGAAGGCTGCAATGCTGGGTTAGGTAGGTGGGTCATCACTAACAGCCTGATTCGAGGAGTAAAGTGTATATGTGTTGACATCCTAGCTCCCTCATCCTTTGTGAGCCTGGCTCTGCCATTTCACCCCTCCTTCATTTTTAATGATATAAATAGTGTGGTTGTGAGAATTAAATGAAATACTACATGGAAAGAACGAAGTGTCTTCCAAATATAACGGGAATCAACATTTACATGCTGCTTAGTAACTAGCGCTGAGCTAAATGCTTTACGGCTGATGGCTTATCTCTGAACGACACAAAGCAGTTTTTACTAATATCCTCATTTTCAAACGCTCCAGTGACAAAGCCAAAGTTCACCAGGTCCTTCTAGCTCCTAGGCTCGGGCTGTCACCGCAGACCCACGGACCATATGCGCTTTGTGGCAGGTTCAGGGTCAATACAATAAATGCATTTTCCTCCTGCAGCCAGCGCCTCGTTTTCCGACGCCTGGCTGCATTCTGGCACCCACACCTCGGCCCGCACCGAGCATCATCCAACAAGGACCCAGCCCCACCTAAAGTCCCCGGAGCCCTCCCCCACCGGCCCTTCTCAGGCTGGGGTCCCGGGCCGCCCCGGGCACAGGGAGCGGAGGGCCAGCTTTTGGGGAGTTCCCGGACGTCGCGTTCCCGCCCCCTGGACACTAGCCCATCCCTGCCTGCAGGTCCGCAATCGGTGCGGGGGACCGGCGCTCTCACCTGAGATGCGAACCCTCTGCACCCGCAAACAAGGAGAGGTGGAAGCCGGAAAGCGAGGCGACTGCACATGCGCAGACGAAAACGCCGGATATCCGTTCCCAGCATGCTGCGCGGTAACCCCTAACCTAAGTTTGACGGGAAGTACGGCGCCAGCTCTCGGTGTCTTTTGTTTTTGTTTTCCCCCCGAGATTTACGGAGAAATAACATGGACGGTCCTGATAACTGGAGCCCGGGTTCTGTCAGAGCCCCAGAGGTTGTGGGTTAGACTTGAGGACATAACAGCAAATGCAGCGTGTGGTTGCAGAAAGCGAGAGCTGCGGAAGACGTTTGAAAACAATTGGAAAATTTGTATACGGACTGGAAATTAGAATTGTGGCAACATTAGGATTATGTAGGTAATCTTGCTTATTCATAAAGAGATGTATATTTAAGTGTTTAGGATTGTATTATGCTTGTTTTTGGTTTTTATTTTTTTTTGAGACGGAGTCTCGCTCTGTCGCCAGGCTGGAGTGCAGTGGCGCGATCTCGGCTCACTGCAAGCTCCGCCTCCCGGGTTCGAGCGATTCCCCTGCCTCAGCCTCCCAAGTAGCTGGCACTACAGGTGCGCGCCACCATGCCTAGCTGATTTTTGTATTTTTAGTAGAGACGGGGTTTCACCATGTTAGCCAGGCTGGTCTCGAACAACAGACCTCAAGTGATCCGCCTGCCTCGGCCTCCCAAAGTGCTGGGTATACAGGCGTGACCTACCCACCCCGCCCGTTTGTAAGTTCTTTTAAAAAAATAATTAGAATCAAGACCATCCTGGCTAACACGGTGAAACCCCGTCTCTACTAAAAAAAATACAAAAAACTAGCCGGGTGAGGTGGCGGGCGCCTGTAGTCCTGGCTGCTCGGGAGGCTGAGGCAGGAAAATGGCGTAAACCTGGGAGGCAGAGCTTGCAGTGAGTTGAGATCCGGCCACTGCACTCCAGCCTGGGCAACAGAGTGAGATTCCAGTCTCAAAAAAAAAAAAATTAGAAATGGCAAGTATGGCAAAATGTTAAGAATATCTACTTCTAGATTATGGACGTGCTTATTGACTACTTGCTCTTTATGTGTTGGAAAATTTTGTAATATAAAGTTTATAAAGGGAAAAATTTGGACTGTCATGTTACAAGTGTGCCTTTTAGAGCTGCCACAAAAATATATAAACAGCTTGGTGTATAAAGCTGTAAAATGTAACAAATACTAGAAAATGGAATCTATTATTAACATAAAAGAATAATATTTGTGATCCTCAGAGTTTATCTCTGGGGGAAAAAACAGAAAAAGCAAGTAAGCTGTTCAGTATTACATAATATCTGAAGTACACACAATCCCAAATAAGAAAACCATTATCCACAAATTATGCATCTCTTAGAGATGAGCTTGCTTAAACTTTATGTGGTATGCTTCTGAAATCAGGAACAAAATTAGAAACCTCTCAGAACAGTATTTTATGACACTCTTTTTAGTAACACACATACACTCGCATGGTTGATACTAACAGGTTATTTTATATAGCAATGATAAGAATAAGTTCTGATTAGCAAGAAAAAAGATTAATGGTAACAGTAAACTAGTGCAGTATATATGAATCAAGGTATAAAACTTTACTGTTGACACTGAAAAACACTTTAATAGATACTGGAGGAAAAGACTAACATTTGTTTTTAAAAATTCTAATCATCCAGGTTTTCTAAGTATATCTTTTTCTTTTTCTTTTTTATTTTATTTCATTTTTTTTTTGAGACAGTCTCGCTCTGTGGCCCAGGCTGGAGTGCAGTGGCGAGATCTAGGCTCACTACAAGCTCAGCCTCCTAGGTTCAGGCCATTCTCCCGCCTCAGCCTCCTGAGTAGCTGGGACTACAGGCGCCAGCCACCATGCCCGGCTAATTTTTTTGTATTTTTAGTAGAGACGGGGTTTCACCGTGTTAACCAGGATGGTCTTGATCTCCTGACCTCGTGATCTGCCAAACTGGGAGACATCCCCCACTAGGTGCAGACCAACACCTCACACCTCACACAGCAGGGTACACCCCTGAGACGAAGCTTCCAGAGCAAGAATCAGACAGCAACACTCACTGTTCAGCAATATTCTATCTTCTGCAGCCTTCGTGCATTGAATTATGAAATTCTTGTAGTGTGTTTGCCAGCTCTATGAAGTGAGTTATGTTCTTTTCTATAATGGCCATTTTGCCTGTCAACTCCTGCACTGTTGTATTGCAAATCTTAGCTTCGGCTTCCTGAGATGGAGTTTCATCGTTCTCCTGAATAATCTTCATTCCTATCCATATTCCGAATTCTATTTCTGTCATTTCAGTCATTTAAGCCTGGTTAAAAACCATGATCGAGAACTAATGCAGTCATTAGGAGGAAAGAAGATACTCTCTGGCTTTTTGAGTTGTCAGAGTTCTTGCACTAGTTCCTTCTCATCTTTGTGGGCTGATGTTCTTTCAGTCTTTTAAGTTGTTGTCTTTTAGATTTTTTTCTTTTTTAAATTATACTTTAAGTTCTAGGGTACATGTGCACAACGTGCAGGTTTGTTACATATGTATACATGTGCCATGTTGGTTTGCTGTACCCATTAATTCGTTATTTACATTAGGTATTTATCTTAATACTATCCCTCCCCCATCCCCCTACCCCATCACAGGCCCCAGTGTGTGATGTTCCCCACCCTGTGTCCAAGTGTTCTCATTGTTCAATTCCCACCTATGAGTGACAACATGCCTGTTTGATGACCTTAGGGGTTTGATTTTGGCATAAGGTGGGTTGAGTTGACTGGCTTTGTTACTGGAAAATTTTAGGGGACCAAGACTCACCTCAGGACTCCTGGACTGCATGCTCTAACTCTGGGAGACTTACATCAGGCCCTAGCTTTGTTCTCTGGCTCCTTGACATTTGGAACCTGCTGCGCTGGAGGGGCTGAGGTGCCCCCAGACCACAGGTCACAATACTATGATGGGAGGTCCCAGCCAAAGCACTTCGTAGGGTGGTGGCAGCAGGATCCATCCTCATTTGCATGTGCTAGCAGCAGTGGCAGTGACAGCACAGTGTGGTCCATGCTCATCAGCTGCAGCATGGTGCCAGCGGGTGCCAGTTTGCGAGCGTCTCTGTGGACATTCACAGAAGTGGTCATGGTAGTATGGTGTAGGGGTAGGGTGGAGGCCCCTGCCAGCAATTGTGTGCACATTCATGCCAGTTGTGGTGTTAGCACAGGGGTGGGATGCTGATGAGCACAGGACTGTGTGCGCCCTCTGTGTATATTCATGCTGGTGGTGATGGCCACTCAAGGTGGGTGTATTAGTCTGTTCTCATGCTGCTATAAAGAACTGCCTGAATACTGGGTAATTATTAAAGGAAAGAGGTTTAACTGACTCACAGTTCCGCATGGCTTGGGAGGCCTCAGGAAACTTACAGTTTTGATGGAAGGGGAAGCAAACACGTTCTTCTTTACATGACAGCAGGAAGGAGAAGTGCCAAGCAAAGGGGGGAAAGCCCCTTATAAAACTATCAGATATCATGAGAACTCATTCACTATCACGGGAACAGCATGGGGATAACTGCCTCCATTATTCAATTACCTCCAACTCAGTCCCTCCCATGACACAGAAGGAGGAGGAGCCACAGACTTTTAAACAACTAGATCTTGTGTGAACTCAGAGTAAGAACTCACTTATCACCAAGGGGATGGTGCTACAGCATTCATGAGTAATGTACCCATATGATCCAATCACCTCCCCCTCCAGGCCCCACCTCCAACATGGGGAATCACGTCACAACATGAGATTTATTTTATGTTTTTCTTGCTTCTTATTCTTTTTACAGCATGCGATTTAGAGGAGACAGACATCTTGACCATATCACAAGGTATGCCAATAACATCAGCAGCAGAAATTTTGGAGGCCAGAAGGCAGTGAATTGATATGTTCAAAATGCTGAAGAAAAAAAAAAAAACTCTTTCAACCAAGAATCCTATATCTGGATGGAGATATGACAGAAAGATGAATGACTAGATGTTCCTGGTGCTTTTCCCAAAGAGGGAGCTGCAGCTGCACCCTTTCTCCATGGCCTGAGCCGTTATGGTGCCATGACATCTTAGAACTGGAGCCACTGCTGCTCTGTGCTCTACTTCAGGGACCTTAGAAAACATTGTGCCCTTCATTCCCGGGGCTTGCTGCCACTGTACCCCATAGCCCCAGAGCCTGGGTTGCACAGTGATGCACCATTTTTAAGCTGAGTTGCTGCTGTACCCCACTCCCTGGGGCCAGACTACTACAGAGCTGCTCCATCCTCCTGGGTCCCAGTTGCTGCTGTGTCTGGCCTTTCTGGGCATGAGTGGAGTCAGTGCCTTGCTGGGAATCAGAACTGTGGCTAAGTGATGCAGCTCCACTTCCTGGGGCTGAGCTGACACAGTGCCCCACCTCTTTGGAAACTGTAGCTGTGGCTATGCTGTGCAGCCCCACCTCCTGAGGCTGAAGTGTCATGGTACCCCGTGGCTACCCAGAAACCAGAACCTCAAATGAGCTGTGCAGCCCCTGCTCCCCAGGAACCAAAACTGCAGTTGTGTTGTGTGATGGCTCCCTAGGAACTAGAATCACTCCTTGCAATCTAAGCTGCTGAGGTGGTCCACATGGGGAATGGAGTCATCTTTGTGGCACCTGCCTCTTGGGGCATGAACTATAGCTGTGCCCTGCCACTCCTGGGTACTTGTCGCCACTGTAGCCTGTCTACCAGAGCCTGAGCTACTATGATGTTCCACCATCCCAAGATTTGGAGTCACCATTGTGTGGTGTCGTGTTCCCTGGGGCCTGGCTTGCTGCTGCACTCTGATGCTCCTATGACCTAAATTGATTCTCTGCCCCACACTCTGGGGCCTGAGCCTCTAAAGCACCTGTTCTTTCCCTGAGCCATGTCATTACTGCACTCTGCCACCCAAAGTCAAAGTCAGAGCTCATAAACAATTAGAAAACAAAATACAAAATGGCAGCAGTGTATCTTCACCTATCCATAATAACCTTGAATGTAAATGGACTAAATTCACCAATCAAAGGACATAAAGTAGCTGAATGGATA